GCCGGGCGGCCTTTCCCACGCTGCTCTGCCCCCCCAGTGCACCTGCCCCACGCCTTGAGGTGTGCCAACATCACCATCATCGCGCACAGGGAGTGTGAGGACGCCTACCCCGGCAACATCACCGATACCATGGTGTGCGCCAGCGTGCGGGAGGAAGGCAAGGACTCCTGCCAGGTCAGACCGCGGGCCCACCCGGCGGCACCCCACATCCGGCTCATCCCCGATTCCCTTTTCTTTTTGCATACAAGAGCTGGGGTGTAGGCCAAAGGTACAGGGTGGGGTGAGGTGACTCCCCAGAGGCAGAGTGGGGAGCAGAACAGGTGGATCCACTGGAATCCCCTGCTGAGGGGAGCAGCGGGGAGACAGGAGGGGTCTGCTGCGCCCTGGGGTCCCTCCCTGGCGGGGGATCGAACTCAGGCTGCAGTGATGACAAATGCTGAGACATAACCCTGAGGTCATCACCGAGCCCCCCATTCCCATTTCTAACCCCAGCACAGTCCCAGTTTCACCCCACTCCCAACGCCAACGCCAACCACCCCCACCCTCCCGCCATCTTTGTCCCCACCATTGCCAACCCCAGCCTAGGTCTCCACCGGCTCTCAACACCACCATCCTTCCCCCTGGGGCCCCCAGACCCTTCTCCACACCCCCCATCCCCAGGGTCCCCAGACTCTCCCCATCTCCCCCCAGCCCTCTCTCTCTACCCCCCAGGGTCCCCAGGTTCCTCCCATGCCCCCTCGCTGACAGCCTTCTCCCCCCACCCCAGGGCCCCCAGACCTCCCAGCCCCCTCTCTGACAGCCCCCTCCCCCCCAGGGTGACTCCGGGGGCCCGCTGGTCTGCGATGGGTCTCTTCAAGGCATCATCTCCTGGGGCCAGGACCCGTGCGCTGTCACCAGAAAGCCAGGAGTTTACACCAAGGTCTGCAAGTATGTGGACTGGATCCGGGAAACCATGAAGAACAACTAGCCAGAGCCTGGCCCTGCCTCCCAGTTAGACTTCGGGGGTCTTCACGGCGCGATCAGCTTGGGGTGGGGAGCTGGGGAGACCTGCTTGGAACCCTGCCTTGCATTAACTTTTGACTCTGAGGGTGAAGGACTCACTACCCTATCTCCAGCCCCAGAACAATTCCTGGGCCGATGAATAAACCATTGTCAACAAATGAATGAAACTTGTGGGTGCTTTGGTGCTGGAGCCTTTAAATCTAACCCACCTGGTCGCCACGAAACCCTAGGGCTGGCCTGGCTATGATGCCGTTTTGTGGAGGAGGAAACTGAGCCAGCGCCGGGGTCGTGAAGCCCCCTAAGTCAGAAGTGTAATTCCGCAGTCGGCCGGCCACTTCTCCCACGCTGTGGCCCGGGCTGGCTGCCATGGGCAACCTGGGAGAAAGCTCCCGTGGGTGCTGATGCTGAGCCGGACACCTGTGAGGTCAGAGCGCTCAGCCCGCAGGTGGTCCAGGCCCAGGGCCTCGGCAGCCTGGCTCACCCCGCGGGAGGTCACCTGCCCAGAGGGAGAGGCTGGGCAGGAACCCGCCTGCCCTCCCTGGGCGGACCCCTGGGCGGACGGGACCTGCGTGTGGCCTCGTGACTCAGGCCCTCTGTGAGCTGCGTTGCACACCAGAAGGGAGGGAGCAGGCCCCAGTGGGGATGGCGACGCCCCTTGCTGCCTTGGCCTCCCGTGATTCATGGGCCTGTGTGAAGTGACCCCAGGAGGGCAGGGCCCGGGAGCTAGTCACCACCAGCTGGACGCACGCACGCCCAGCCCGCAACCCGCTGGAACTCACAGCCTGGTGGCCAGACTGGGCGGCCTCCTCCCACTCTGGCTCCCGGGTTTCTGTGCCTCAGGGTCTCACGCCCACCCTTCCTTCCACCAGCTGGGCCGCCCTCCCCCGGTATCAGCTGTACACTTCCCTGTTTATTTACTCTGCTCTGGGAGCTGGAACCACCCAGCTCCCCACCTGGCAGCCCGCTCTCCTTGTGGGGAAAGACTCCTTGAACCGGGGACCTGGGGCACTCCCCCAATCGGGCTCCAAAAAAGGTGTTGGGGCCTGGGAGAAGCCTGTATTCCCGGCCCCTCCCAGAGCAGGAATCCGGGGCCCAGGTTGGGCGCCAGCCCCACCCACGCGTAATTAGGGAGAGGGAAAAGGAGGGGGTGAGGGCCAGAGGGGAGGGTGGAGAGTTTTCCGGGATCTTCGGGGGTTAAAAGGGAAGCCCTGGCCAGGGGTCCAGGGCAGAGGCTCCCGACAGCCCACACAGCGGGCCTCTCCCTCTCCCTCCGGCTGGCAGCCACGCGTGCAGGCAAGCTGCACCTCACCCAGGCCTGGGAGCGCGAGAGGATGGGTGGGGACCGGCGTTTCTGCCTCGACTTCCCTAAGGGGCGCGCCCGGAGCCCCGGCCCGCGCCCCACGGTGGAGGAGGGCGAAACCCCACGTTCTCCGTGGCCGGCTGGCCGGCAGGGGAGCACTTCCCTGGGGCGCAGGGAGGGCAGAGGACGCCAGGAGGGGCGTCGGCGGGGTAATTGCGCCCAATGCGGCGGCTCAGGCCCGTCGGCCGCCGCCCCTACGGCGTGGCCGTCG